CATTCAGTCGACCCATAATTCTGATCGAAGGAAATGATGCTTGGTGTTCCCATTTTTTTTACCACGCGATGCAGTTCTCTGGTGTCAATTATATAAGACTAGTTAACTTTTCTTGAGATTTGTGAGATCATATTAGATATTAAATAAATGGGAGTTAGCATTCGATTGAGTTGGTACCACCTAATTGAATCCAATTCAATCCTTTACTCAGTTAATGAGTCAATTTTCATTTATTTCTATTGTACTATTGTATTTTTTTGTTGTGCACCTATTCTTCTTTATATATCATATCTGTTCCCTTTTCTAGATGAATTATGACTCTTTTCACATCTAGGATTTACATATACAACATATATTACTGTCAAGAGAGGGGACCGGGTCCTATATTCTTTCTTTTTATTTCTATATTAGATATTTTTATTTACTATTTATTATCTTTAATATCTTTATTATCTTTACTTTAAAATTTTTATAATTGAAATTTATTCATTCTAGAATTTCTTAATTCTAATTTAGAATTCTATTTCTATTCAATTTAATATTTATATATATATATATATATATATATATATATTGATTAAAAGAGTAGTGTGTGGCTCCTTACGCGTTCATAAAAAGAAAGGATACAGATATGAGGGAGGAATAGTGGATCCCTATCTAAAAATAAAAAAAAAACATAATAAAATCCTTGGGGTTCCACAATTCACATTACAACTCCACGCAAAAGAAATGAAAAAGGTGACAAAAGTAAAGAACCCAAAAAAACCTATATACCCACAACATGTATACCAATAAAGAATAGCATACAAAAAAAAGACATAAGCATCAAATCTCAAAAATATCAGTATATGAGAGCAGCAAAAATCTGCATAGCAGACTGTTAAATCGAGGTGGGGCAGTCAAGTAATCATCCAGACTTGCAAAAATAAGAGTAGCCCAAGTCCAAGGCAATAACAGATAATCACAAGCAAGCAAATTCCAGTCCTTAAAGCAGAAGAGTTCCTTAGTAAAGTGATGATCCGCAGGCCAAGGAAAACCTCCAGCATTCAGAAAACAGATTAGGCAAACAGTGCAGCTCATAGGTACCAGAGAACCTGCAGCAAGATTCAAAGTAGAGAGCAGGCAGTTCCATATAAAGTGTTGCAGGTTAGGAGCACATTCACCTTCCCCAAAATAAAGCCAACTAGCCCCACAAATATTCATAAAATTAAGTAATTTGAAAGAAATATAAGGGCTATAAAGGAAGAGCCAGCCAGACAGAACAAAAATCATGTTCTGTATCCAATTACTGAGAACAGAACCCAAAAATTCGTTCAATGAAAGTAAAACTGTAGTACCTTGCATCCTCCAAATCATCATATAAAGACTCGAGAAAGCCAAATATATATTTGGATAAATATAAATCTTAAGCATCCCAGCCAACCCGAAAGCAGAAGAAAACAATGTAAACCAGTAATGGATACCAAAAAAAGTTTCATGCGGTTCCAGAACTGAAGATGAAACAAGTTCAAGCAAAGTTCCAACCAATTACAGGCTAACACAAAACCACTATCGGCAAATATATATATATAAATTCTTATATATATATATATATATATATACAGTTATAACTAAATAAAAAAAATGATAATTAATATATGAATAAAAAATATCCTCGGTAACTCCCGGTCATGCACATTTTTTATTCATGTTGCCTAAGTAAAACAATTAAGAAATAAAATTCTTAAAGTTATTCATTGAGCAAAATTCCCTCATAATTTTTTAAGCTTATAATTGAAATGAGAACACCACTGAAATGAATGAAACAAATTAATTTAAGTTTACATAATGTATAGTATAGTTAAAATGAATCAATTTAGACAATTCAATGGAGTGCTTGTTGCTTTGACATAAATTAATAAAGTCCCTCTTGCAAACATTCAAAACTTTTTCATGACCTTATATACTTATGGGTCCTCAGTTGACTCATAAACTCAACCAAGTTTCAACCCTTGTGAATCTTCTAGTAGTAATAATTTTATTATCTATGACTAAATCAACTTCTGCATGGAAGGCCTTGGCCAACAAATTACTCTGCTCATTGAGTTTATACAAATTACTTTTGCTAATCATTTTTTTTATCATTGGAAGAAAAATAATATAGATCCAAGATGTCAATATTTATTTATTGGTTGCCAATATTTTCATAATAATCTCAAATCCTCATGTATTCTAGAAGAATTTATCATGCTTAAGCTTAAAGTAAGACAACGAGAGACATATAAACTAACCCTGATATCCCTTACCACTTCGATACCATCAAGAGGTTAATTTCTCCATCTAACATGTTGTCAACCTCCATCTGTTCCTATTATGTATAAATATGTCTCCTAAATGTGTCGAAATTCTATTCTCATAGACAACATTCATATTTTTTTACATAACTTTGCTTTATTTCTTATAATTAGTAGTATGCACAGTTGTAGCAGACTTTCTTTAACCTAACTTTATCTCATTCACTACTAGTGAACATCCGATCAATTGAATATATTTTTTTAAGAATTTCATGAATGAAGGCCATTTAAAAGAGTTCCTAGCTTACTATAAGAAAGATAAAGATCTTATCTAAGAGCATCTACAACCTCCAATCATCATGCCTAAGTAAGAAATTCAAATATCATAACTATTAAGCTACCATTAGAAGAAGTAATCTTGAAGCTACTCGTACTATTTTTTAGCATGATGACTGAACTTTTAATTAAAATATTTAGAGATAATGGTGTTATTATTATCATCATTTTTATCAATCATTTTGTATATTACTGTATTTTACTTGATGTTGTGAACATTCTCATTATTAAACTATCATAAAAGATGAGACTCGGCTCTCAAAACTTCTAATCATTTAAAAAAAACCCTTTTAGTCATTCAAAAGGAAGGTATAAAACAAAATGTTCTATCAGGCTTATATTAGTTTAGAAAGAGCATATATTCAACAATGAATAACAATGCAACATTATTATTGTTTGTTCCCCATTATATTACAATTATTATTTCTATAAATAATTCATTATTAATTGATTTCATTCCATGGTGTACTCATGACCTCTTATTGCAAAGCTTTCATATTCCAACAACTTAATCATCCTGAACATAAGGCTACACAAGTCACAAAGATGCTAAGTAAGTATTGTCAACAAGAGTTCCTTTGTTGCTCCTTTTGTCCTTTCGATCCTATGGATTTCAAGGAGACTCTTAGCTTCAAAAGTGACCCATGAAGGAGAAATTTTATATAGGCTTTCCATGCCAATATACATTTTTATATTTGCTTATTTTCAATAAGCAAAATAATTCAAAAAAAATTTTCTCATCTAGAGATCCACAAAAATGGTGGGAATTAATCTCAATCTCAATAGTCATTATTATTGAAATACAAAATCTTTCATCAAGTGAAAGAAAAAAAGTATTCTAAAGAATTGAAACATATGAATAAATGGATTTGAGAATTTTTTTAAGAGTTAAATTTATTTAAAAGTTTTTTGCATATACTAGATTTTCTAAGTAATGATGGTTAAGAAGCTAGTATAAGGTAGTATAAGGTAGTGAATGTGTGTAGAATTCACCAATGAAATAATGCTTACATTTGGGAATCCTAACTTCTATATGACTTCAATACCATAGCTGACTCTGTGATGGGGTTCCCAATATCACTTATGTATTTTACTTTTATGAAAAATGCATGATATGAAATATTTTATAAGTAATTTAATTTTGTTAGTTTATTTAAGCCACTAAAAAAATTAAATATAATATTAAAGTAGTATAGTTTAAGAAGCTCTTCGTGCCACCCACAAAGTGGAGTCATTTACACCTGCTAAATGTCAACAATTAATCAATGTTAATACCTCGATCGCCATAACATAGCATTGAAGAAATAATGATATTTAATGCCAAACACAAGCCAACCTAATCACTAAGAATATTGCTAGAAGGAGAACTATAATGACCATGAGTAATTAACGAGTGGCATCTTATGCATGCTAGCTATTGACATCTGATGCAAATCTTCTCAACAATTTGCTATCCCATATTCTAGGAGGCACAATTAAGTTAAAGCCTAGCATGACCCGGCCAATATTTTTTTCTTACTAGTCATGATTTTTGACGGCATTCAAGCATCAATTTTCTCTCTTCTTATTAGGGCTGTCAAAAAAGCTCGTTGTTCGCGAACAGTTCGTATTTAGTTCATCAATGAGTTTGTGTTTGATTCGTTCGATAAGTAAACGAGACGAACGTGAAATTTTTTTCGTTCGGTTAGTTAAACGAACCAAACACGAACAGTGATGCATTCGTTCGTGTTAGAATCGTTATTGTTCGAAATATAAAATATTTACAATATTTATATATAAAAAATTTATGATATTTTAAGAAATAATTTTTATAAATTCTAATATATAATAAAATAATAATAATAATATGTTAATATATTATATTAGTAATATACTAATGTAAATATTATATATTTATATAATATAAGTTATATAGTTGATATAATATATCATTTATATATATTAATATTAGGGATGTCAAACTGGCTCGTCGTTCCCGAACAAATCGAGTTCGATTTAAACAAACATGAACATAGACTTCACGAACAATTTCGAACACGAACTTATTTCAAACAAACTAAATTTCAAACGAACCAAACACGAACACAAGCTCTGTTTGTTCATATTCGGTTCGTTACACCCCTACTTCTTATAAAACTAACCGTTAGAGCCAAATAATTTTATGACACTCAAACTGTAACATTTCTCAAATATTGTAACCCAACAAATTATATATATAAACATACATACATATATATAGATAATACATACATACATACATATATACAAACATACGCGTGTGTGTGTGCGCGTGTATATATATATATATATATACACACGTATATACACACACACACAGAGAGCGTTAAGGCTCGTCTCGGCCGTTCATCTGCCTGGTACGCCCCAACTACGATGTTCAGCAGACTTGTGAAAGGGTGGAAGAAGAAATGGGTTCCTCTCGCAAACCCTAACAAATCAAATTCCAACAATAACAGTCACTCCCATCTCCTCCGTTACAAATGGACTCCAATAACGCCGCTTTCCCACGGCGCAGAGGCCGCAACTCCGCCAACTTCTAATCAAGATGTCACTTCAGTCGTTGTGACGCCGCCTTCTGCAGCCGAGGAGGCTCCCTAGAGGAAGTTTTGGTATATTTTGGTGTTTATTCGTGAACAAAAACATGAGACTAATGTGAAGTCGGATGATGAGAGAAAGTCTGAAGATGCTAGCACATCTTTGCAGCCAGCTCAAGGTAATGATTCTGATAGAAACCCTGAAGGGAGTGATGCCTTGATGGAAGAAGCTCAGGTGTCGAAGAAAGAACAAACACAAAGTGAAGATGCCAAAGAGACCAATCTTGACTTGAGGTTAGGCTTAAGAGCTTGTGATGATGATCATGTAAATGATCCCAAAGCTGCTGGGAAAAGCGTTGGCCTGCCTGAAAAGTTTAGCTCAGTTGATGTTACAACAATTAAATCTTCAGCTAATTCAGAATCTGAATCTAGAAAGAGGAATTCTTCTTCTGCAACTAATTTGGAGATGAGACTGTGAGCATTATTTTTGTAATGTTAGATCCTTTGTTTTTTGTGCTTCTTTTCTGTTGCATTAAGATTGAGTTTTGCTACTATTATATAATGTTGAGGTTTATGACTGAAAAACTGACGAGAGCTTGAAATGTCATAGTTTGACTACAATAAAAAGTTACAAATTTCTTTCTATATATATATATATAGATATTCATTTATTTATTTATTTCAAGCCCGAAGGTGCATCTATTACAAAAAAGGAAAAGATACGAAGTGTTTAGTGAGTGGGTATAGGTACCCACTCAAATGGTATACAACTCACACAAAAAGCAAGAAATAAAAAAAAAAGTATACCCAAAAAAAAAAAAGATGGATGCTCTAAAATGAAATGGGAAAATGTCATGTTGTCTGAAGTGGAGAAGGTTGTGAGGTAAGTGAGGAATATAACGAAGTGTATCAGAAGTCACAAAGGAAGAATGCAGTGCTAAAACCGTGAGCACGTATTATATCATCGGCATTAACACCTGATACAACTGAGGAAAGCACCGCATGCAAAATACTGGCAGCAATAACACTGCGCCACTCCTAAGAATAACACGGCGAATAAACCACGCAATACTATCATAGATAACACTAATAATAACACCCATGGGGGACATCAATGAAGCGCGAATAACACCTGGGGGGGGCTAGAGAAAAGCCCAGATAAAACACCAGCCAAACTACCTCCAGAACGAGCAATAAAAACATCAAAAACGCTCAAACTATCATCTAAATATTTATTGTGCTAAGGTGAAGAAAAGTAACAAAACATGATTTGTGAAGGTAGGGTGTTAATCCCATTTCCATTCATTAAATACTTTACCTCTCCCCCTTTCCCTTGTCCTAGGGAATGAGTCTAGTAACAAGCGGTTATGAGGGTAGTCGCCTGAGCTTAACAAAGTGTCATCCAAACTTCTGAGCTCACAAATTCCTTTGCTCTTCTTTTTGATTGTTTGGATCTTCCATTCCTCATCCATTAAAGCGGGTTGTTGCACATCCTGGGCTTGGCCCTCCTCCAAGAGTGGAGTGCCCATCTGATTAGCTACAATATGTTGATACAGAGATTGTTTAATGGTTGCTTCTTGTTGCACATTTTGAGCTCGGCACCCCTCCAAAATTGTAGTGCCCACAACAGCAGTATTCAAAAGTTTTGAAGTAATATGAGTCTCCTTTTCCTGTATAATTTGAAAACATTCTTCTTCTACAGTATGTGGAGGTTAAAGAGGTGAGGGATTTTTTGTAGGGGCAATTGAAACCAAAGTGTTGTCCCTTCTAGAAGTAATACCCACCACTCCAGCAGGTGCACTAGTTGTTTTGGTTACCATATTAGTATTGGGATTAGGGATACCCTTGTAATGATCAAGAAACTCATTAACCTTAAGAAGGGAAGGGTTCTCAATAGGTACAATTGGGTTCAGGTTAGGAGGAGGGGGGACCTCAGACGAGGCACTTAGTTTTTCTTATTTTAGATGAGGGTGTAAGTGGTAATAGTGACAGTTAGAATGGTTAAACACACGACAGTGAGAGTGACACATGGGGAATGGCTCAATAATAACCCTTGCTAATAGCTTTGATGTTGTGAGCCTATCCAAATTTCCTCGGAAGAAGTTAAGTGATGTCTCGTCCAACAAGAACTTTAGATTTTGAAGGATGGGAAGTATTAAAGTGGGAATGTCTCTTTTGAGTGGCTTACCATAGATTGCGATGATAGAACACAATAATTCTTGACTAAATACTGGAAATTCATACCAGGGAGGCAAATCTAGACTGGAATGAAGGGTGGTTTAGTCTGTGAGTTAAAATCCCCAGTACATTTCAGAATCTTCATTGCGCGATTATCAATCCAAACAAATCTTCTAGAAAATAAGCGTGTGTAATCTTTTTTATTGTTAAGTTGAATGTGGATTTGACGCTCTTTCTAAAAGCCCAATTTTTCACTCCCCAAACAGGTGCATAAGCTCAAATCCTTACAATTAATCTCAAGATTAGGATGGTCATAAAGAAATTTGTCAAACAAATTTAGCGGCAAAAAATCAAGCAAATTACATGCAGCTTCAATAAAGTAGATGGCTAGCTTTCCATTTTTCTTACCAACATTTTTTATGAAACAAAACTCTCCACATACTACAGAGCAAACGAGGACAGGAACATAAAAGATTTAGGAGTACCAGAAGTGTGACCATCTGTAAGGGCTGCAGCCAAGATCCAAAGCCATCTCTTGTAGAGGCAGAAACGAGAAGAGTGAGATCCTCATTGAGACTCCAAGAAATCACCTATGATGGGAAGCCTAGCCGGGCTACAACATCCATCACATTCGATATCCGTGTGTGTGTGTGTGTGTGTGTGTGTGTGGACCATGAAATAGAAAAGAAATTAGGATTTATTTAATTAATTAATCTAATTAATTACCTATTTATCTTTTTCTCACTTATTGAAACCCACTCAAAAGTGTAGTAACCGTTCCTGCTTCTACTTAGTTACAAGCAAACAAAACAACAGGTATTGACTTATTCGCACTTCTCTTTCATTCCATACTCCTTTACATTTTGACTTTTTTTCTCTTGTGATATGTTATCTGCTTAGTTCATCTTTTCCCTCTCTTCACAAAGCTGCAAGTACATTTTCTCTGGTTTGAAACCCATGTAGATCTTAGTTACTCATTGTACATGATAGACTTAACATATAGAAATTTATTAAATTGTTTGTTAGTGGATCTATGTTTTAGTGAATATAATAGGCACCCACACTCTTGGGTAGCTTTCTTTCAATTCAAGGCATTTAGGCCTCAAGCTAATCGTTCCTTAAATTCTTCATGAAAATGGTCAGGCCACAATCGGATCTATAGTTCATCCTCTTCAATTTTGGGAGTTAAAGATAGAATAAAATTTCTATGTGATTGATGGTGATAGCTCTCTTAGAACCTTGATAGATCATCCATGAATTCATATTTGTGGGATATTACATTTGATACTTCATCAGAGTATTAAGTACATGATTAGAGGATAATTAAAAAATTGAATGTAGTAGAAAGGATAATTAAAAAATTGAATGTAGTAGAAGTGTTTTGCATCCTGGATGATATTCATCCCTTCTCGAAGAATGAGGTTAGATTCTAGAAGGCTAAATTCTTTGTTCTTGCTCTACAAGCTTTGGGTGCTACAGTGCTTAAATCATGCTTGTCCTCCATCAACTATCTTTGTATTTTCAGAGATGAGATCGATTTATAGAATAGAAAATAGCTCAGGGCATTATCTTGTATTTTGTTAAGGGAATTCCTCCTGTTAATAGAGGTTTACCCATTCTTTTGTTAGCAATGATCAAGATCAAAGTCCATTTTGACAATGATTTTGAGCTAATGGCTGACATTTGTTTAACTGAATGGTGAAGTGAATGCCTTGGGCTCTTTAGCCAAAGAGTTTTCTAGCCCAAGTCGAGAAGTCAAGAGAGTTGTTATCCAAGATAGAAGGGTCCTATCATTAACAATACTTGACATATTTACAGTTATATATTTAGGCACTCAAAGTGAGATTTTTACAATTTTGACCATTTGGCCTTATAATTGGTGGTGAGATTTTTCTAATTTTTTAGTTAAGTGAAGACTCCCTAATGATGTCTATTGAGCGACTCATATTCAAAGAAGATCCTTTTCTCTTCATGATTATGAATGATACATTCTACTGATTCTCATTCAAGCAAATGTGGCTCCATGTTTTCAGCAACAATGATACCCTTAAAGCCATGAGCAAAGTATATGAAGTTATTTCTGGATTTTATAATCCGAGCCCAAAATGAAGGTAAGGAACAAGAGTCTTCGATATTAGTGGCTATTTCTAGCTAATGATTATTCTTAGTATGCTAGGAATTACCACCAGTGATAGATCTCTTAACTTCATCTTCTATTATCCCCAATTTTATTGCATCATACAATGGCATTGCACTCTTTTGAGTCATTGAGAGCATGTTATATTACTTATCATACCCCCACAAGTGATACACCTTACGCTTTAACCTTTAGATCCAAGGCAGTCTTTCATTGGAAAGTTGAATGACACTCATTATGTGCGGTCTTACGTCAAAATGTTGATACTAACAATATTTCTCACCTCATCTATCAGCATTTGATAGCATGGATGAACTCTGGTTACAAACAAACAAAATTTGGAGATGTGCCAAGATCACATGGCTAGAGTACTAGACATATTAATTAGACACCAGACTTTTATAATCAGGGAGCTCATCACAATTTTAGGTTCTTGGTTATTTCACATCAACATAGACAAGAAATGATCAAGCTAAGTTGGAAAGAATTGCTCCTAATTGAAAAGGTGTACGAAGGCAGATCCTACCTGTTGGTTGATGTGAATGGTAGCTATGGGATACCCCTAATTAACGGGAAATATTTTAAGAAGTAACACAGATGACATTTTCTTTTTGTACTTAATTTTTTTATGACATGTATTATGAATATAAGAGCTATAGTGTTGTTTCATATGTACTTACAATTTATTTTGACTAATAAAATATTATCGCTTTAGGCTTTTTGTGACTATCATTATTTTACATTTTTATGTGCTCACATATATGCGTATGTTAGGCATTATTTAGTGATTCAATTTATTTAGTCAAGCTTCAATCTGTCATTATCTTATACTTTTATGTGCTCACCAACAATATATATGTTAGGCATTCCTTAGTGAGCTGCTTAGTTTAGCCAAGCTTGACTCTGCTGATATCTTGCATTTTTGTGTGCTTGTTTGTAATGAGTTTGTTAAACATTCATTAGTGAGTCACTTTCTTTATCCAAGCTTGACTCTACTGATATTTTACACTTTTTTACATGTTTCTTTGTTATATATGTTAGGCATCTATTATCAAGTTGTGAGCATTTGTTATGCTTGCTTTTGCTAAGACATGATCATTGTGATTGAAAGGGATAAGAGGATCCTGTTTTATGTGACCTGATCTACAATTACGTAGATTTTA